TTATGACAGAATAGTTTCCACTTTTTGTTTGTTTCTTTGAACAGGGGTTTTGATCCAAAGTTTTGTTTATTTCTAGTATCTGCTTCTGCCTCCACCTCTACCAGATCAGCTTCCTAGACAGCCACCACCCCTTGGTGCTCCATGGCTTGAACTGCTGTAGGAATCATGTGGAAGAGGCTACCCCCTTTCCATAGAAGGGGAAGCCTTCTTTCTTGTCCGCCAACCTGAATGCGACCACTTGAGTAGAGATCACTTTGGCTGCTTGAGTAGCTATCCACCATACCCATCTTGTGAGCTGCTGTAATCATCAGAGACTGCTTCCACCGTAAGATGGTGGGGACCTCATGTAGGTGGAGCACTCTGTGAGGTCATCACTCTCATATGAATCTCTGTAGGAACCTCCACTCGGATGATCTGAGTAGTCACGATCCCGATCATATCCATCTCTATCACTATAGCCTCTTGATAGGTAGTCACCATGTGAACTGGAATGACCATAATCATGGTAAGTATGAGCTCTTGGTGGTGGGGCATAATCTTTTGTATCACGAGAACTTGGGTAATCTCTGCTTGAATAGCTGTCTTTAGTTGAATATCCATCATTTCTTAGAGACAAATAAACATCTCTGCGAGAAGGCAGGAGTTCCCTTGGAGGAGGGCCTCTGTAACTATCTCTTCCACGTGATACAGGGTCTCTTCCTCCCATTCCACTGCTGCTTAGAACTGGTCCTGATGGAGCTGATCTTTTAGGAGGAGGACCCCCACTTCGTAGTGGTGGTCCCCTTTTCAGTGGCAGGGGTCCTCTGGAAGAACTCATGTTAAAATTCCTAAGATTAAAAAAAAAAATTCCTAGGATAGCCACCATCATCCATGTGCCCTCTATGTGAGGGAGGTCCCCTAGTTCCTCTGCTTCCTCCTCTAAGACCTCTGGGAGGGCCTCTGCTTCTGGAAGGTGGAGGTGGTCCTCGTCTACCGCTTTCAAATAATGGTTTGGTGGCTTGTTCCACTTTGATGGCTTTTTCATCTAAGGACTTTCCATTCATGTCCCTGGCTGCATCCTTAGCATCTGCTGGGCTTTCAAAGGTAACAAAAGCAAATCCTCTTGACTTACTGGTTTCTTGGTCTTTTATCAAGAGTACTTCCACTATCCATCCCTATTTTCCAAATAATGATTCAAGGGCTTTCCCATTTGCTTCTTTATCAAACCTACCAAAAAGAGCTTTCCTGGGCGATCTGCTTCAACCATTTTGCCCCTGGTAAGTTGGAAGGGGGGGGGTGACGGTCTCAAGCTCCCACAAGCTCGCTGACAGGGCTGGCCATACAGGCTGGCACAAATGACAGCTGCAGGTTACAGCACACAACTAAAAAGCCACTAGCACTACTGCGCACTGAGCTTCCATTGACTTTATATTAGTTCTTCCCTGTCATATATATATAT